TGTCAACCATTATGTTACTGTAGCACGATTGTATCCCAAGGGTGTACAAGTAGCATAACTCAAAGTTGAATATCAAACTAGAAATGGGTGAATGTAAACCCTTGTTTGGGCTCCATTAAAAATAAATTTTAGGAAAAAATGTATGTTGAAATATTGATTTTTTGAAGAATGTGTGTTTAAAAAATAAGTAAAATTTTTGGCCGTGTTATATTATTTTTATGGAAAATATATAGTTAAAAATAAGAAAATGAAAAATGTATATTTGAAATAATGGAGCCCAAACAAGGGCTAAGTTTCAAACGCACACTTAAAACCCATTTTGGGTTTGAACAGTGTTATAAGAAATGTAAAACATGAGTAAGCATGGTTGCCAAACTTCAAGTTTTACAAGTCTATGCGAGGCCTAGGCGTAATAAAATGTTTTATTATTTTTTATATTATTCTTAAATTTTTAATTATTTTAAAAATTATTCAATAATTAACATCATACGTACTAAAATTATAAAATACTAAATTTATTAATGCCCTGTTTGAGTCTAATTCTTTCAAAAAAAATACATTCTTAAACAGCGATTTGATATTATTTCAATCACACATTCTTCAATAAAATAATATTAGACACAAATTCAAAATTTTTCGTCATTTTTTAACGACGCATTCTTCATTATTCTACTATTTCAAAATACATTCTTTTAATGTGGCTGAAACACGCTTTATAATTCCTACATTTAGTCAATTATACATTTTTCAAGTGAAAATTTTGAAACTAAATCAAATAAAAAGACTTTCTAGAAAAGGAAAAAAATTAGAAAAAATAAATAAAGTGGGTCCAGACGCAAATTAAGTGGTCAACTGCCATTCACGCTTAGTGCCAAGGTAAGGCATTTTGCCCGCGCCTTGTGCCTCACATCTAGACACGCTTTTTAGAACATTGAATTTGAAACGGTGGTCAAATTAAATATATATTATGTAAATTTGTAGATAGACATGTACTCACTCCATCTCCATAACATATCTACAAATGAATAACCAAATAATGTATCAATGATATTCATACAACGTAGCATGACATATATTTGTTTCAATGGTCACTGAACTTAGATTCATATTTTTGATTAGTCACTGATATTTAAAATGTCGAGTTTTGGATTAAACTTAGGTCCACGTCTTCGATTACTCACTGAAATTTAAAATGTCGAGTTTTGGCCATTAAACTTTCAAAAAAATGTTGTACATTACTCACTAACATAAATATTGAATTTTAAGAAATGTCGAATTTACAATGAGTAATATACATCATTTTCAAAGTTCAGTGGCCAACACTCGACATTTTAAATTTCAGTGAGTAATCGAAGACATAGATCTAAGTTTAGTAATCAAAACTCGACATTTTAAATTTCAGTGACCATTGGAACAATTAACTCCAAAATCACTTTATCATAATTTTTCATCATTTTCTTTTTATATGAAATTCAACCAAGAAAGTCGTGGGTGGTCTATCCAATTTTCAATAGACTCACAAACTAATTTTCATATAAAGATATAATCGGACTAATTTCCAATCCAGTTCTGAATTTTATTTGATCGAATTAACAAGTCCATCTAATCTTTATATGTTCAATATGTTTTCAGTATTTACCCAAGACGTTGAGATTGTTGAAATATTCTTATATAGGGCCCGTTCGAGCCTCGGTATTTTTTAATAATACAATTTGAAATAGTAGATTGATGGAGGATGTGTAGTTAAAAAATAAGAAAATTTTTTTGGTTTGCATGTAATATTATTTTATTGAAAAATTTGTGATTGGAAAGAAAATAAAGAAAAATATATTTAAAAAAAAATGAGCATCAATGATGGATTGATCAATTTCTCCACGCCGGCAGATAAACTAATTGGTCCAGACTCATTTGTAGCTTCTTGTTCTTAACACTAATTTTGTACAAAAGCTATTGGAATTTTATTGTTTTCTGATTTTCCAACTACTCTCTTAGAATTCCATGTAATGCTACCCTAGTTTTTGCCATCAACAATTCGTATTTTTAAGTGGAAATGTGAGGCTGCCAGGCAGGTGACACGCACTATTTAAATAAATTAAATTTAATAGCTAACTTTGGAGATATAAAAATATATTAATATTAATAAATAAATATTTTTGTTTTCAAATAGTGTGAATTTTTAAATGAGGTGTTAGTTGGAATTATCGTCGACAAATTTCTTGAGTTTAAAATTTTGTTATCGATCTAGACAATGTCATCGATCAATTTGACATCAAACTACGTACACAAATATCTTTTAGGTCTTTTACTATTAGAAAAATGAAGAAATAAAAATTTAAAGGGAAAAAATAATTCTATTTGTGAACCACGTTTTGAACACAAAAATATGAATAAATAATTTTTCCCTTATAAGATAATTGAAATTCTTAAATGAGGTTGCAAGTGTAAAGAGGTGGTATTGGACTGACGTTATTCGCTTATTGTCGAACAATGATAAGTAGGGTAAGGGTAACGTACACGTTAATTTGCTTAAGCATATGTCACAAGAGGAAATAAATAAATAAAATTTAGAAGAAACTTAAATTCTCTTAAATATTTCAAGATCCAATTATGTGTCTTTAACTCTAACAATCTGCTTAATATTCATAAGACTTGTATCAATTTTAATTTTAAAACAAAAATACACAGAAACTGCATACCACCAACATCCAAACAAATTTAAGAATTTTTTGAACAACTCATAGTGCTACTTGAATAGGGTTGGCAACGGGGTGGACTGCCCCGCCTCGTTACCTATTTACTGCAAGACGGGGAGGGACAGTTGCCCCGTTTTTGTATTCATTTAAATTTTTTTAATATAGTTTTTGATAATTCATTTTATTATCTCACATTCATTCAAGTGAGACAATAATATAGTTATTAATTTATTTTTAAAAGTTAAATTATTCGAATATATTTGGTAAATTAAAGTTTTTATTGTTTATCATATTCTTTAAGTAATCTTAATTGCCATCTTCTATTAGAATTAATAAAATTTTATAGAGTTTTTTCATTTAAGGTATTGGATTCTTCATTTAAAAAAGAAATTAAATGGGATGGAGGGGACCCTATTATTCATACTTGCCCCATATCCGTCTCGAGACGGAATTTCCTGTCCCATACTCGACCCGATTACTCGATTAAGCAGGTAATCCTTACCTTGTTCGGGCAGGGCTATCTGAGCATCGGATTTGACGAATATTTTTGTCATCCTAACACTGGAATTAAATTAAATTGTATGAAATATGAGTTGGGTCACGTGAATATACGCCGATTCAATCCATTTTAATCTCTTAGAGGTAGTTTATTTAGTTCTTATAAAAAAATCTCTATTAATATTTAGAGCCTGTTTGGGAGCGATTTTATCATCCCAAAAAATTAATTTTCTGACCGTTATTTCACTATTATAGTCGTCATATTTGACTTCTTCTCTCACAGGTGGACCCCACTTTTCTCCTAACGGTCAAAAAATCAATTCTCAAAATCACTCCCAAACAAACTCTTAACCTTTACTATTTTTCTCTTATTTGAGGCTGATAATTGGCAAAAAAATTAAAGTGATCCGATATGCATCAAGTAAACTTTAGACTAAAACCTATATCCTCAATTACATAAAAAGAAGGTGCAAAAATTCAACAATAATTTCTCCACTCTCCAATGTTTTTGTTGCAAGTGACATCTAAATAAACATAAATAATTACTAATTTGGAGAGAAGGTGGGACCCTGTGAAACCAATGGTAGTTGGAGTAAAGATAATAAAATATTGGTGCATAATGGATTAATTAGGCTTACGTCATCCAAGTATACGTCAAACGTCGAATGAAAGAGAAACGAAAGAAGACTTGTAATAGAGATGACAATAAAATGGATCGAAGTAGAACGATAATTACCATTTCCCTTTTGTCGGAAATTTTTGGGAAAGCGGATGGGATGGGGAAAAAAAGATAAAAAAAAAAAAAAAACTCTACCTTACCGTCCCATTTAATTCTATAATTAATATTTATTTTAAAATATGATTTAAATTAAAAATATGAAAATAAAATAAAACGAGTCAAGTTGGAGACCATGATCCTCATTTCCATCCGGGCATCCCGTTTACTTTCAAGGCATACATTCCCTGCACCATTCGGATAGAGTCATAGAGATCATGTGGTATGAATCGGGACAGAGAAATTTTCCATCCCTAACTTGTACACTTGACGTCGATCTCCCTCTCGCTCAAGTAAATATTGACAATACATGCGTTACTATTTTCTAAATGAAAAATAAAATTTATTTGAACAAATCTATTTTAGAAATAATAATTTCTTGTATATGTCAAAAGACTTAAGGTTGGATGATTTTTATCTTTCAACTATTTTAATATGTAACGATAAATAGAATCAAACATTGACAAATAGTCATATAAACTCCCTTACTTTCTTAAATTTTATTTGATTTGGCATACTAATCTTTCAAGACTATTTCTTTCTATGATCTCATTGATGGACTAAGCATAGTCATTAATACTAATATTTCAAACTACTAACACATAGGTATGCAGAAAATGACATCTTAATCAAAATGATATCAAATTCCTCTAATTTGGTCAACAAACAAGACAATCCCCAACTAAACTCAAATCCTACAAACCAAATTAACATAAAATAAGTAAATCCTTCTACTTTTCCAACTATTAAAACTAATAAACACCCTATCCTACCCCAACATTTCTAGACATAATCCTTTAAAACCAAATTTAAATAGACTAAGAAATCCTTTTACTTTTACACCAAAAAAATGTATAAGCGCGCGTCCCCTCTATCTCAAGTTCAAATTTATTGTCCCCGTAGCTATCCTACAAAACAAAATTAATACATAGTAAGCGAAAATTTGTATTCTTTAGCCATAAAAACTAAGAATCAAAAGACACCCCTATCCTCTACCTATTCCATCCCACCAACCCCCCATCCCAACCCAAGCCAAGATTGGAAGTCGTGTTTATATGAAAGCATAGTCAGTGGTTCACCCACCATAACACCCTTCAAACTAAGAATCTCAATATAAAAGGCGCACACGAAAGAATCTTCCTAACTTCACACCAATTTCTTGTACATTGATCTTATCTAAAACTAAGTTACATAAAAAACAAGCATATATTTTTCATGTATGATCTATACACACAAAAATTTGTATCCATATACAGACAATTTTTCTTAATCTTAATAAATACTTCCTCAATCCCAAAAATCTCCCATAATTACCTTTTTTTAACCATGTTTCGGTTTTTCAGTTATGATACCTTCGCCCTCTTCTTTCTTCTTCTTCTTTCTTCTTTTTCTGTCTTTCCCGCTATAGCCATCCGGTCGCCACCCAATTCTTTAACTGAATTAACTGTCGATATTCAGAACGAAACGTGGCACAGTTTTATTCGCTTTCTTGATGCCGGAAAAGGTAGCCATGTCAACGGCATGGCCGAGCTCAAGAAATATTTTCAACGTTTTGGGTACCTCTCAATCCCGGAAAATAATTTCACCGATTTATTCGATGAAGAGTTTGAGTCGGCTCTGTTTAAGTACCAGGAAAAGCTCGGGTTATCCACCACCGGAAAACTCGACTATGATACCATGAAAGTGATCATGTCGCCGAGGTGCGGAGTTTCCGACACGACATCACCCCACAATTTACATGCAACGAAACATTACGCCTATTTCTACGGCGAGCCGAGGTGGACCAAATCATCGCCGATGATATTATCCTACGCTTTCGCTCCGGCCAACATCATCGATTACATAAGCTTATCCGATATCAGAACAGTTTTTCGTCGAGCTTTCTCAAGGTGGTCTTCAGTGATTCCCGTCAACTTCACCGAGGCTGAGAATTACTCCTCTGCCGATATCAAAATTGGGTTTTATAAAGGCGATCATGGAGATGGGGAGGCGTTTGACGGGGTGTTGGGTGTTCTTGCTCACGCTTTTTCGCCAGAAAACGGTAGGTTCCACCTGGACGCCGCCGAGACATGGGCTGTGGACTTCACGGCGCAGAAGTCAAAAGCGGCAGTGGATTTAGAATCAGTGGCGACCCATGAAATTGGGCATGTACTTGGGTTGGCTCACTCTTCGGTCAAAAATGCGATTATGTACCCAAGTCTGAGTCCAAGGACGAAAAAAGTGGACCTCAAAATTGATGACGTGGAAGGTATTCAGGCTTTGTATGGGTCAAATCCTAATTTTAGTTATAATTCTTTGTTGCAGTCGGATATTTCATCAAGTTGGGGGTTAATGGCCATGAAAAGAAGAAATGCGATTTTAGTGTTGATAGCAATTATTTTTTCTCTTCGCTTATGAAGGTAACACGACTTTATCACTTTTTTGGGTTCTCTAAAATATACAAATTGTTTAATTTCCTTTTACTTTTCAAGAATTGTAAAAAGATTTACAGTTATAAAATTAATTACACTCTTTTTTCACACCCAATTGTTGTTTTGAATTGAAAGTAGATTTTTATTTATTATTTATTTTTATTTTTGTATGGCCATTGACCCCCAACTTTCTTGATATATGACTAAATGAAAGCCACTTATTTTTTTCATCGAATAAGTCAAGATATGTTAATGGCTATTGAAAGAAGCAAATGCGATTTTAGTCCAATCATTTTTTCTTTGTGCTTTTTATAGGACAATTTTTTATACGTGCATTGAAACGACAGCTAAATATCCTGCAAAATTTTTGTATTCGTTGTTTATACCAATTATTTAAGAATTCAAGTCCAAGAGATATAGCTAAATCAGAAATAACTATTAAAAAAATTTAGCTTAACACTAAAAGTTCCACAACTGCCATGCCATCACCACCATCGAATAGATTTTCAACTTGTATGATTAGCAATACCCTTGAAGTATATGGCTTTTCGATTTCATTCATATATCCCGTAACATAAAACGAATCAGTATCAATATTTTGTTTGGGTTGTAGATATATACATATACATATATGTGCGTGAAATTTAGGGGTTTAAGCATCTGCTTAGTCTCTTTTTTTTTTAGAACTCATTTTTCACAAACTTATTTTCAACCACACATTTTGTAAATCTCACAACTTTTGTTAACTTTTCAATTATACATTTCATCAGTTTTTATTAAAATTTATTAAAATCTAATTTTTATCCAAATCAAATAAGGGCCAAGAAGGATTGTTGAATTAAAAAAATTATGCTTTACGCTTCAATTTCAAATTCTTAGGTCAACTATAAATTAGGCAAATGCACTTTTCAAACGGGAAATTGTGGTGTATAAAACATGTTTCACATTTTTATATTTTATGAAAGTATGCATTTTTAAAATATCTTTAAAAGACTCTTTAAACATAAAATGTTATTCTGAATAGTTAGTCCTTAAAATTATATTCCAAGAAACTCTTTAAATTAATATTGTAAGATTATAAAGAGTGTGTCTGGTTATCCAATTTAGAGAATCAAACTCACTCTATATAATTAAATAGATCCAAATTATTTCAAATTTCAATGAAAATAATATAATGATTTGGAGAGAAGTTAGTGAAAATAAAATCAAGATAAAAAAAAATATTTTTTGGAGAGTAGTAAATTTAAGTATTGAATATAAAGAGCAGGTTGAAGTATTTAAAAATTTTAACTCTCTAACATTATACATGATATTTATATTGTAAAATATGCACTTTAAAAATAAAAAGTCCCTTAAAGATACTCTTATATCTTTGTTCGAGTAATTCCTTGTAAATTATTAATACCACTAGCACCAAATTTCTACAAATTGCGAAATTTCCAGCTTTTTGTTAATGCGTTAATGGCACGAAACGTCACTACGTTTGATATTTATTGCAAAAAATGTCCTTACATTTCTTTTTTTGTATTTTCGTCCTTATTTCAACGTTTCATTGCTAAAAAGTCATTTTCACCATTTTTTGAATGTAAAATGACCAAAATACCCTCCCATTTAGAAAAACAAAAAGAAAATAAAGAATAAATTGTAATTTTACTCCTAAATATTTTTAAAAGTGCAAGTGTGTCCAAATAATTATTAAAAGACCTAATAGCACAAAACGTCCCTACGTTTGGCATGTAGTGTACAGAACGTCCATACGTTTCAAATTGATGAAAAAGACGTCTTTTGCAATAAAACGTAAAAATAAGGATGAAAATGTAAAAAAAAATTGAAACGTATGGACGTTTTTCGCAAGAAGTGTCAAAGGTAAGGACATTTTCTACAAGAAGTATCAAACGTATGGATGTTTTGTGCTATTAAGCCTTATTAAAATTGAAACCGTTGCCAAACCGGTGAACGTCCATATAATTTCCAAATTACCATCACCCAAACTCCGACGGCACCACCTGTTCCGAAGAGATCCATGTCATTTCCAACACACCAATCGACTATACTTACTGGGACGCTTCTCTTCATGGTCTTAAAATATCAACAGATGATTTAACAGTATTGAGGTTCGGCGGTATGGACGATGGTTAGTCGGAGTTTTTTCATTTCTAAGGTGGCAATCCCATTTGGAGAAGAAGAGACCATGAAGAGAGAAGCACCCTGGTGAGTACAGTCGATTAATGTGTTGGAAATGACATGGATCTCTTCGGAATAGATATTGCCGCCTAAGTTTGGGTGATGGTATTTTGGAAATGGTATGGATGTTCACCGATTTGGCAATGGTTTCAATTTTAATAAGGCCCAATAGCACAAAACATCCCTATGTTTGACATTTTCTTGCGAAAAACGTCCATACGTTTTAATTTTTTGCATTATCATCCCTATTTTTCACATTTCCTTGCGAAAAACATTATTTTCATCAATTTGAAACGTAAGGACGTTTTGCACACTACATGTCAAACGTAGGGACGTTTTCTGCTATTAGGTCTCTTAATAATTATTTGGACTCATTTGCACTTTTTAAAATATTTAGGAATAAAATTGAAATTTATTCTTTATTCTTTTTCTTTTTTTCTGTTTATTTAAATAGAAGGGTATTTTGGTCATTTTACACTAAAAAATGGTGAAAATGACGTTTTTAACAATGAAATGTTGAAATAAGTACGAAAATGCAAAAAAAAAAAAAAACGTAGGGACATTTTTTGCAATAAGTATCAAACGTAGGGACGTTTTTTGCTATTAACGCTTTTGTTAATATATGTATACGTGGACCTCAACAATTGCTACAAAATAGTTAAACTGTGGACGGACAATATGAGCACATGTTTGGTTTTGATTTTTCACCCAAAAAAATTAATTTTTTGACAGTTACTTTCAACAGTCAGCCGTCATTTTTGACTTTTTAATTCACATATAGGATCCACTTTTTTCTCTAATGATAAAAAAATTGATTCTCATAATCACTATCGAATAACTTTCACGTTCATTAATAAACAATATATGCATAGATAGGGATGTCAAAAGAACTCGACGGCTCGGGAGGCCCGCGGCCCGGCTCGTGGCTTGGGCTGAGCCCCATTTTGGGGACACGGGCCGAGTCCGAGCAAGCCCGCGAGCCTTTATTTGAAAAAAAAAAAAAAAGAAAGAGGTGTAAATGGCAGTAAATTCTGCCTTTTAACCGACTGCCTTAAAAAAGGCAGAAACTGGCCAACCGGTTGCCTTAAAAAGGCATAATTTTCTGTCTTTTTAAGGCAACCAGAAACAGCAAAAAATAAATAAAATTGAGCCTGTCCGTCTCGACTTTGAAAAGCCCGAGCCGAAAGCTCAGCTTGGCTCAGGCTCGTAAAAAAGCTCGATCATTTTAACTGAACTAAGCTCGAGCCAAAAGTTTTAAGCTCGGACTCGACTCGTTGACATCTCTACGCATAGATGATAGTTTTGGGATTTTGCCCCCAGGGCATATCTCCCAGTGGCAAAGGGGAGGACGGATAGGGCTCAGCGCGACAGTGTGTAGAGTTCGATTCCCCGCAAGGTGGAATTGGCTTTGTTGCAAGCGGGAGTTACCATATGGGTTAACAGCCTTGGCATATCCATGTGCTCTCCACCCTGGCTCCTGGGAGGCACATCCTACGATTTACCTCCTCCACGATGGCCCAAGATAGGGTCGGTGGGGGCCCTTAAGGTTGGGGTTCAACTTTTTTTTTTTATAGTTTTGGGATTTTAAACAGGAAAAAAACCATATGCAATTTTAGAAAACAGGGGTGTATTGCTGTCAGTTTTCAACCACTGCATATAATCAAAATCATTGCAATTTTGGACCACTTCAATTTTTTATAATAAGAAAGGACTATATGATACTCTACTACAAAACATAGATTTTTAATCAAAAGATCACGAATTATTGAACTAGCATGGTGAAGAAGGATTTTATGGAAAATTATGCTAAACAAACCGTCTAAAAAACAGGGTGCACAATTGTTAACACATGTTGGACTGTTTGAAAAATGAAAACAACAAACACGCAATCATCTACTGCCAAGTCCGTCTATTTTTTCCATTTCATTGATCTTGGACAAACATCATTACTCTTTTATAGATGGTTAGCTACATAAACCAACTTATATAGTGAAGGAATAACATGTTGTACCCTAAGTATAGATAGAGACGTTGTCTCAAGTGTACAAATTTGTACTCGGAGGAGGCATTACATCATATATTTAATACTCAACGATTTACTTGTAATTTTTGTATATTTGATTAGCACAATTTACAATTACATAAAGTCATTTTGCCACATTGTACTGAATATAGTTGGAAAAATACATTTTCTCGACAATCATTAGGATAACTTCTATATGGTTGGAGATATCAAACAAGAACTCAAACAATAAAAAGATGCTATACAAGACCTAATTGCATGGTTAAAATTTATTAGTCAGAGCCATAATATGTTCATATATTTTAACACTTGTAGGCAATGCAATGCAGAACCTTTTTTGGCTATTGCTGTCGAAGAAAAACATATTCAATGTTCTCTTGGGGAGCTGTAAAATCAACTTTTGCCGAGTAAAAACATTATGGTCATTTTTGAGCCGAAGTTATTGTAATGTAAATCGACTTTGTACCACTTTCCTTGCTCATTTACATTTTCATAGCTTTGATTCTTAGTATGAGAAAAATCTTATCTTAGGGTCCGTTTGATTGTAAGAATGAAATTTGGGTGAAAAGAAAACGAATTTCAGGAAATTAATTGCTTAGAACTTGTTTTATTAAGAATTGTTAATTAAATGTATTTGATTAGTATAATTTTTTATCAGAAAAATGTTGAAATTTTCTATCTTTTAGTGTTTGTTGTGTTGCTTTTTACTATAAAAAAATAATATGGCCATGTTTGAGTCACATTTTTTCAAAAAAATGCATTATTAAACAGTGGTTTGATGTCATTTCAACCACACATTTTTCAATAAAATAATATTAGACGCAAATTCAAAATTTTTCTTTATTTTTTAACCACATATTTTTTTTATCAATACACTATTTAAAAATACATTCTAAAAAAA